TTCTGTGATGCTGCTAATAAAAGAAATCATGAAAATGAGTAATTTTAACAAACAGAATTCCCCTCCTCCCCCCCCCCAATGTGTAAGTCTGAATTCAAGGTGCTAGCTCTAGGGAAAACTTTCTCTGTGTGCTCAAAGGAACATCCTTGTCTTTTCAGATTCTTTCCTGATTCCTTGGAGACTTCTAAATGGATTGCCATCAGTCTTCTTCTATCTCTACTCTGCAAGTTTATCTATGTCGTTAGAGTTTAATTCAAAATATATCCTACATCAATCCTGCCTAATTAACCTAGAAAAGAAAACCTCTTTCCCAATGGAAATATAACAATAGGCATACAGGTTAGGATTTATAAGACATGTATTTGGGAAACATAGTCGAACCCATAATATATATTAACAGGAATGACAAAGAAGCATGGTTCAGAGAATTAATTAGGGTACTTTAGTGGTGTAGTTCATAGACTGCTGCCTGCTCCTAACCAAAAGGTGGAGAGTGCATAGGGTTTCAAATCCACCAGAGGAGAAAGATGGGCAATCCCCTCCTGTTAAGATCACAGCCTTAAGAACCTGATTGGAGGTCACTGTGAGTTGAAATTAAAGAGTAACATTATAAGACTAAGTGATTGGCCAAAGTGAAGTTCTAGATTATTTTTAGTATCTAGTACAAGGTGCTAGTTTATGGCATTGTTATTAGGAATAGGGAATGTAGAAGCAGTCAATAACGTATTTGATAATGATAAATTCAAAATTATTCTTTCATAATAGTCTACAACCATTCTTTCCAACTTGATGTCTTTCAATTCTTGGTAGATTTTCAAAACATCGTACAGTGAGCTGGCACCAGACGGCTATGAAAATGTTACAAATATCGTACCACCATATAATGCTTTCTCAGCACAAGGCTCACCTGAGGTAAAATAAAGACTTTTTTTAAAAAATTAAAACATTTATATATTTCTTTGTTATATAAAACTTAGGTAGAAGACTAAAATCAAAGGGAGCTTAGCAATGAGGTATTTGAGGGTTGTGATACAGAAACACAAGTAGCTTGAGGATGAGAATTATTTTAACCTAAAACAATGAGAAATGAGAGCAAAGGAATAAAAAAATAAAACTCAAACAACTGAGTATGCATATCTTTTAAAATATTATATAGATATTTTAGATATTCCAGACAATCTAATGATGTTTTAAGCAATTAATCAAATAAATGAGCCTAGTTAATAAAAGACTACAAAAAAATTAAAATCTAGGGAACTGAATGACCCATATTTGCTAATCCATAGTTTGAAATTCAGTGATGTACCTCTCTTCCCCTAATGCATTCAGTTCAATTCACCAGGTGCTCCAAGGGAGAACAATGTTATTATTAGCTCCTCTCATGATATTAACTGCCTCTGAAACCCTCTGGAGGATCAGCTATGTGTCAGTTTCAATTTAATGACACCTAACAACACCTCCTCCTAAGAAAAACAAATGTGGGGGGGGGGAAATGACAGAAAATTAAAAAGAAAAACAAAACCCTAAAACCCCACAACCCAACAACAGATGCTAAGCAGACACTGCCCTGAAATAGTAGTGTAACTGCTGAACATGCCTTGAGTTCAGAAGGAAAAGAAGTATTTGTATGTATTTATTTCCTTTGATCAAAATCTTTACTTTTGATTTTATGGATTGTATCATAGAAGTTCTTAAACACCACCAAACTTCTTAAAAACCATACCTTGGGAATTTTCAAGAAATAGAAGTTTCTATTCTTGAGCTCCATATACAATGGCAATTTCTTTAAAACAGGGCCACATATAAAACATATATTTGTTCGTTGTCATATATTTTCTAACTGTAGAGAATGTTGAAAAAGTACCTAAAGATTTCTCTAACATTCCTTTTTATTAGCCATAAACCAGGAAAGACAACTTTTGATGATTCTGTACTGCAGAATAAGTTTGTTTAGTTTTCTCTTTAATATAACAATGTTGTGTATGTGTGTCGTTGTTGTTGTTGTTGTTGCTATTGTTACTGTGTTGTTATTTCTTCTCTACAGGGAGATCTTATATATGTCAATTATGCTCGTACTGAAGATTTTTTCAAATTAGAAAGAGAAATGAACATCAACTGCACTGGAAAGATTGTGATTGCAAGATATGGGAAAATCTTCAGAGGAAATAAAGTAATATGGTTTTTGCTTTCTTTTCTAGAGGCAAGGAGGTAGGATATCTCCTGTTAATGTGAATAATCAGCTTGTATGATAGTTCTTAAAATTATTTTCATAATACTGTTCTTGAATTTTTATGGTTTTTCTAACAGAAAATCCTGGTTTTCTGTTACTTCACATACCTAGATGTAGCTTTGGTGACATTGTATGTAGGGAATTGTGTTGCTACCCCAAGGGCTGTGTCCATTTGGCAATTCAACAGGGAACTCTGAGGGAGAAAGATGAGCAATCTCTTCCAGTGACATTTAAAACCTCTACAAAACCAGCATACAAGTCACTTCTCACTGGAAGAATTAACAAATTTAGAAATGAAAATGTTTTAATTTAAAATTATATATAGAGTTGTTGTTGTTGTTATGTGCCGTCCAGTCGCTTCCGACTCATAGCGATCCTGGGTACAATAGCCCTAAACTCTGCTCTGTCCTGTGCCAATCGCACTGTCTCCAATACACCCTGCAATTACCCCCGTAACTGAATCAGTCCAACTCACACAGGGCCTCCACCCTCCCAAGCATGATGTTCTTCTCCAAGGACTGGTCCCTCCTTACAACATGTCCAAAGTATGTCAGACGAAGCCTCAGTATCCTTGCTTCCAAGGAGCAGCCCAGAATGAGTCTGTTTGTTCTTAGTAGTCCATGGTACCCTTAATACTCTTCTCCAGCAATACAGCTCAAAGGCATCAATTCTCCTTCTATCCTCCCTAGTCATTATCCAACTCTCTGATGCCTAACATATGATTGCAAAGACTATGGCCTATACTAGATACACCTTAGTCTCCAGAGAGACACCATTGCTCTTCAGTACTTTGGTGAGGTCCCTAACAGCAGACTTTCCCATTGCAGTATGTCTTTTAATTCCTGGCTGCTGATGCCAAGAATGTTGTTGACTGTGGAGCCAAGCAAACCAAAGCTGTGAACAACCTCAATCTCTTCACCATCCATCCTGATGCTACCAATTGGTCCAATGGTGAGGATCTTTGTCTACTTGATATTGCGCCTCAATACATATTGAAGGCTGCAGGCCTTGACCCTCTGTAGCAAGTGCTTCAGGTCCTCCTTAGTTTCACAAGCAGGGTTGTGTCATCTGCATAACGCAGATTGTTGAAAGATCTTCCACCAATCCTGACACCACATTTCTCCTCATAGAGTCCAGCCTCCCTGATAATCTGTTCTGCACACAGGTTGAAAAGGTATGGAGACAGAACACATCCCTGTCATATGCCCTTCTCAATTTTGAACCATACAGTGTTTCCTTGCTCTGTTCTGACGATTGCCTCTTGGTCCAAGTGTAGGTTTCGTATTAGCACTATCAAGTGTTCTAGGATTCCCATTTTTCTCAGAGTCAACCACAGTTTGTTACGATCCACACTTTCAAATGCCTTTACATAATCAGATAGACATTCCTCTGGTAGTCCCTGCTTTCAGCTAAGATCCATCTAACATTAGCTACAATGTCCCTAGTACCACGACCCCTTCTAAACTCAGCCTGGACTTCTGGCAATTCTCTGCTGATGTGCTGTTCCAGTCATTTTTGGATAACCTTCAGTAGAATCTTGCTTGCATGTGAAATCTATGATACTGTTCGATAGTTTCCATGCTCTGTTGAGTCACCCTTCTTTGGAATGGGAACAAATATAGATCTCTTCCAGTCAGTTGGCCAGGAGGTTGTTCCCCATTTTTCTTGGTACAATCTGGTGAGCATGCCTAGGGCAGCATCTGTTAGCTGTAATATGTCAACTGGTATACCATCTATTCCTGGGGCCTTATTTTTTGTCATTTCCTTCAAAGCAGCCTGAACTTTTTCCTTCATCACCATAGGCTCTTGCTCATATATTGTTTCATTAAATTCTTCTGTGTCTGTCAATTCCTTTTGATACAGTGACTCAATAAATATTTTCATCTTCTTTTAATACTTCCTGGATCATTTAATATTCTGCCTAAAGCATCCTTGATTATAGCAACTCGAGGTTTGAATTTGCTCTAGAAGATCAGTGGTAATAATTCTATCTTCTATTTCACTGGCTCTGTGTTCCATCTCTTCAACTCTGTTAATTTGTCCCTCTATGAAACTTTGGACCTCATATTTTGGATTGTGATTTTTTTGTTTTTCAGGGGATTTTATTGCCTCATTTCTTTTATCTGCAGTGTTTTGTATTGTTTTTTTAAGCTCCTTCTGGGTTTTGCTTGCAGTGTCCTGTAATTCTTCAAATTTGTCTTTCATCCATTGAAAATATTCATTGTCCTTTGAAATTCTGTGTCAGTAAGTTCCATCAGACTTCTGGCTTCAGAAAATTTATTGATACTATGTCACCTTTTGGGGTAACATCTTGCTTTGGGCTTGTGTGGGATGTGAGGTAGCCTCCTTCTTAAGTGACATAGCTGTGGTAGAATTTTTCATTCCTGAGGCGATGATAAGTTCTTGATCTGAAGTCACTGTTCCAGAAGAGGGTTGGGCAGTTACCTTGCCTGCTTTTCTCTCTGAATTTCTGACCCAAAGGAAGTTTCAGTTCAGGGCCTGTGAAAGCAGCCTTTTCTGCTTTTAAATATTGCAAATCAAGGCTTTCTGGACTAAAGGCAGTTAGCTGACTGAACGTGAGGAGATGCAAAGCAGAGTGTAGAGGTACAGGTGCTGGGCAGGCACAGGCACGGTGTGGGCAAGGCATGGCACAGCCATGGGACAGGTGTAGGGTGGGCACAAGCATGGGATGTGTATGGGTATGAGACAGACATGTAAGCAGGGCACATGCACATACGAATGCTAGGCAGGCATGTGTGCAGACTTATGCTGATTTGGCACAGGCAGGAACCTTACTCAAATCCCAGCTGTCAGGCCCACTTTTGGCATCCTGCTTTTGGTATTCTGCCTTTGCTCTGGCCTGCCTTTGCTCTGGTCTGCCTGTGCTTGTATATTTGTTTTTATCTTATTACTAGAAATGTAAATATATAAGCAAAGATACTAAATTACTTCTCCTCATTACCCAAATTTATTGCCCAGTTGTAATTCACCTCAATAGATATTTCCAGATTTTTTTCTGTGAAATAGAAATAATCAGTGTGTATAGGTCTGTATGCATATTTTACACACATTGTGGTTTTGTATTAAAAAAGGGACTACACACTTGCATAGTATGCATATGTACATTTATATATATAATATATGGTAAAACTTCCTTTTTCATTAAGCTATAATCATAGTTCTTTTTCTGTGTTAATCTTTGAGTTACACAATGTAGTGGCTAAGAAGATAGTATTATTGATTCATGCTGACTGGGTTCCAGTCTTGTCTGAACTCCCCTTTTCTCTATATTTTTTACCCTGAGCAATTGCTTAATTTTTCTGTGCCAGTATTTCCTTATATATAAAATGGGAAACTAAAAATAGTATACTCATATACAGTCATTATTAAGATTAATATTAGTTAATATTAAGTTAATAATAATAAGTTAATATTAAGATTAATATTAGTTAATATTTGAAAGCGTTTGATAATGAATGATATGAAGTTATTTTTTAAAGTAATTTCTATTAAGTGAATATGTCATTGTTTTAAATGGCTTAAACTAATTTTTTAGAATTGTTGTTGTTATGTTGTTAAGTGCCATCGAGTCGCAGGCGACTCATAGCGACCCTATGAAGGAGAGTCCTCAATGCTTGGGTACCTTTCATCCTCTCTCCAGGTTTGTAGGGTTTCCAGAGGCAAGCTATTATGGAAGTGGATGGCACTCCTCCTTCCAAGCTTGTTTTAATCGGCGAGCTCCACCCCACTCTCTGTCCACATTGGGTAGCCACCCGTTAACACATTTGACACATCAGTGTCACAGTGTTCAGCCTCACAGCAACCACAAGTGACCATGGTACGGCAACTTGTACACCAGGGCTATATGACCTAGAGGAATGTCTGAAGAAAAACAATGAAAGACAGGCCCGAGGGCCACGGATTAAAATTAATAAACAATTAATTCACTTATTCTCCTTTTGATGGACACTTGGCTTATTTGAAATTTGTTACACTAAAAATCAGTTCTGTGAACATGCTTATCCTTTATAACTAAGCATTTGTGTGAAGACTTTTATAATGATTCTTGAAGTGTACTAGCTACATCATAGTATGTTGCTGTTGTTGTGTGCCTTTGAGTCAAACCCAACTCATAGTTGACTCTCCAGTAATTTTCCGAGGCAGTAAATTGAATGAGAAGGAGATTTCCCATTCTTTTCCTATAGAGCAGCTGATGGATTCAAATCATTTGCCTTTGGTATTGCTCTAAAGCTTCTTACTACTAAGTTACTAGAGCTCCCTATGACTTAGTAGAATCTTTCAGAACTGATAAACATCATTGACTAGCCCTCCAAAAAGTTGTGACAGGTTATACCTACAATTTATCTTGTTTCGGTTTTTAATTCCTGCAATTTGTAAACATATTCTCTGAATATTGAAATGTGTTCTAGTGAAGGAATAATCTGTATTCCTAACTAAATAGCTTTTTGTATAATATTCTGATTATGAAGAAATTTTTATTAGAATATGTCTACATTTATGTAAATATATGATCTACATTTTTACTAAATTATTATATAAATGTTGTTGTTGTTTATCATGGAGTTGGAACCAACACACAGCTGGTGGGTTTTCAGAGGCAGTTAATCACACAGGAGGAGATTGCCCATCCTTCTCCTGCAGAGCAGCTGGTGGCCTTGAACTGTGTGCCTTTGAAATTGCAGCAGAGCTTCTTGCCAGTAGGCCACCAGAGCTCCCTTTTATATATATAAAAACCCACTGGAGGGTCAGCTACAGGTCGATTCTGACTCTATAGAACATAACAACAATAGCAATGATATATATATATATAGATAGAGATAGAGATAGAGATAGAGATAGAGGTAGATAGATATAGATATATAGCAAGGGCAACAGGAGACCAAAATATATAAGCTTTTTAATCATAACCAAACACCTTGAGAAATAAGTTGCTGGTTATTGACCTTGGGACTATGGTCTTAGGATCATCAAGGTCAATTGCTATAATATAGACCACAAAGACAATGTTCTATGTACTACTTTGGTGAGCAAGCCACCATTTAAGGTACAACCATCGTTCCCCCCATTTTTTTTAAGAAAAAAAAAGGAAAAGGAAGCAAAGCAAAGACATATAGAAACAGTTAACTCAAAGAACTGATAGACCATGCAGTCTCAACTTCCATAACACTAAAACCAGTTACTACTCCTAATCACTCAAAAAAAGGTCACATTAGAAGATCGATCCTAAATAGACTCGGCGGGGGACAGGGGGATTGAGTAGTTGAGGGAGGTGAATATGAAACAAAACAAAACAAAAACATTTTAAAAGCCAGGCTTACTGATCTGATAGACTGGTGAAACCCTGAAGATTATTGTCCTTAGTAAACCTTCTATCTTGCAACGAATCTTACCTCTGTGGTTCAACTTTCAGCTAAATGGTAGGCAGGCTTATTGATCAATAACTCTAGAAAGCCACTCAATCCATAGAATAAGCAACCATATAAGAAAAAGGGTAGACTTTCCCTAAGGATAGAACCCAAAGGAAGGAATTACAGAGAGGAAGTAGGAAGAGTTAAGTTGCCTACTTTATCATGTGCCATATATTATAGGATGAATGGTGAAAAATATTTTCAGAACAAAAACCAAAACACACAGTCTAGTTGGGCAGACAGACATTTAAAAAATATTTTAAAACTCTACGACTCATCTTACAATAGAAATACATAGAAACTATAAAAATAATACAAAACTATAGAAATAATACAAAGAAGAGAAACATTAATTTTGTATTTTTTTTGGTCATTAAAAATGTTCTATAGACAAGGATTTGAGTAGAGTTGTATTCGGTAAGTGTGATACTTGAATTTTATTTATGGCAAAGAGAACTTAATGTTTAGTAGTGTAAGAAGCAGTAGTGTGTAAAATTCCTTAAAATACAAAACATATGTCATTTGTTATTTTTTTCTTATGAAGTATATATTATCCTTGTAGGTTAAAAATGCCATGTTAGCGGGAGCTATAGGAATCATCTTGTATTCTGATCCAGCTGACTACACTGCTCCTGGGGTAGAGTCATATCCCAAAGGATGGAATCTTCCTGGAACTGGAGCTCAGAGAGGGAATGTGTTAAATTTGAATGGTGCTGGTGACCCACTTACTCCAGGCTATCCAGCTAAAGGTAAGGATTGAGTCTGTTAAGGTCAAGAAATTCTTGCTTCTTATAAACGGGACAAAATTAAATATCTTCAGAGTGACATTAAAATGACATGCAATTGCAATATTTTGGATTATTGTTCTTGGAAATTCAAGAAACATTTCCCCTTCATTAAATTTTAAATTTTCAATACATATAGGGATGAGAGATGGATATTGATGTTCTTTAACTTTTATAAGTGTTATGTTGTTGTTAGGTGACAAGTTGATTCTGATTCACAAGGATTTCACATTCAACAGAAGGGAGCACTGCCAGGTTTGTTTAAATAAATGTCCTTCTAAAAACTTCTTCAACAGAGTAAAAAGGAAAGCCACAGACTGGGAAAAAATATTTGGTAATGACATGTCAAATTTTGGTTCCTGTGGACTTGATTTAATTTTCCTCAGCTTCAGCCTGAACTTGTATATGAGTCATTGGTGATCTGTTCCACAATCAGCACCTGGCCTAGTTTTCACAGCTGATACTGAGGTTCTCCTGCAATTCTTTCCACAGATGTAATCGATCTGATGCCTATGCATACCATCAGGTGAAATCCATGTGTATAGCCTGTGTTTATGTTTCTTATAAAATGTATTTGCAATGAATAAGTCATTGATTGTGCAAAATTCTATCATTTTATCTCCAGCTTCATTTCTGTCACCAAGTCCATATTTTCCAACTTCTGATCCTTTTTCTCTATTCCAGCTTTTGCATTCCAGTCACCCATTATTATTAATGCATTTTGATTGCATGTTCGATCAATCTCTGACTGCAAAAGTTGGTAGAAATCTTCTGTTTCCTCCTCTTTGGCTCTGGTTGTTGGTGCATATATTTGAATGATGGTGGTATTCACTGGACTTCCTTGTATGCATATGGATACTATTATCCTGTCATTCACAACATTATAATTCAAGATGGATCTAGAAATGACTTTTTTTAACTGTGAAAACAATCCATTTTTTTCTCACCTTTTCATCTCCAGCATAGGAGATCAAATGATACTCTGACTCAAAATGTCCCATGCCAGTCCAGCTATTTCGCCAGTACATAGTATGCCAATATTTATGTGTTCCATTTCCTTCTTAACAATATCCAGTTTTCCTACATTTTTGGTTCTTACATTCCATGTTCCAATCACTACTGTCTGCTTACAACTGTGCCTCCTTCTGTTCCCATACATAGGGTTTTCAAAGGCCTGCTATTTCGGAAGTGGATGGCCAATCCTTCTTCCTAGTCTTAGCTGTGGGAGGATATCAAGAATATCATCCAAGAAGAATGCAAAAGGTCATTATAAAGACAGAGGAGGAAGAAAAGACCAAGATGGATGTCAGAAGAAACTCTAAATATTGCACTGGACCACTGAGAAGCCAAAGCAAAGGGAAGAAATCAAGATATTAAGGAGTTGAACAGAATATTTCAGAGGGCAGCATGAGAAGACAAAGTATTACAATGAAATATGCAAGGAGCTGGAGTCAGAATATCAAAAGGGCTGAACTCGCTCAGCATTTCTTAAGCTGAAGGAACTGAAGAACAAATTCAAACCTCATGTTGAAATACTTAAGGATGCTTTGGGCAGAATATTAAATGATCCAGGAAGCATTAAAAGAAGATGGAAAGAATATACAGAGTAATTGTACCAAAAGGAATTGGTGGACATAGAAGAATGTCATGAAACAACGTATGAGCAAGAGCCTGTGGTGATGAAGGAAGAAGTTCAACCTGCTCTGAAAAACTGGCAAAAAACAAGGCCCCAGGAATTGATGGCATACCGATTGACATATTTTAACAAACAGATACTGCCCTGGATGTGCTTACCAAATTGTGCCAAGAAATATGGAGGGCAACCAACTGACCTACTGACTGGAAGAGATCTATATTTGTTCCCATTCCAAGAAGGGTGATCTGACACAGTGTGGAAATTATCGAATAATATCTTTGATATCACATACAAGCAAGATTCTGCTAAAGATTATCCAAAATCAACTGGAACAGCATATCAACAGAGAACTTCCTGGAGTGCAGGCTAGATTTAGAGGAGGCTGTGGAACGAGGAATATTATAGCTAATATCAGATGGATTTGGCTAAAAGCAGAAAGTACCAGAGGGAATGTGTCTGTGTTTCATTGTCTATTCAAAAGCATTTGACTGCATAGATCATAACAAATTGTGACTGGCTCTGAGGGGAATGGGAATCACAGAACACTCGATTGTGCTTAGGCACAATATATATACTTGGACCAGGAGGTCCAAGACCAGGAGGCGGTCATGAGAATAGAGCAAGAAAACACTGCAAGGTTCAAAATTGGGAAGGGTGTGCATCAAGGATGTGTCCTATCCATATCTTTTCAATTAAATGCAAAGCAGATTATCCAGGAGGCTAGGCTCTATGAGAAGTGTGGCATCAGGATTGGAGGTTGACTCAGCTATCTGCTTTATGCGTATGACACAATCTTGCTTGCTGAAACTGAGGAGGACCTGAAGAGCCTGCTACAGAGGGTAAAGGATTGCTGCCTTCAGTATGGATTGAAGCTCAATATCAAGAAAACAGAGATTCTTACTGCTGGGCCAATTGTAGCATCATGATGGATAATGAAGAGATTGAGATTGTTGACAGCTTCAGTTTGCTTGGCTCTTACAATCATCACTCTTGGTACCAGCAGCCAGGAAATGAAAAGACAAATTGTATTGGGAAAGTCTGCTGTCAGAGATCTCTCTGTGGTACTGAGGAGCTATGATGTCAGTCTGAAGATGAAGGTGCACCTGATACATGTGCATTACAGAGCTTGCCAATGACTAGGGATGATAGAGGGAGAGTGAATGCCTGAGGGCTTTGGTGCTGGGGAAGAGTATTGAATATACCATAGCCTGCTAGGAGAACAAAGTTCATCCTGTATAGGATGAAGCCAGGCTGCTCCTTAGAGGGAAAGTATCTGAAGCTCCGTCTGACATACTTTCAATATGCTGCAAGGCGGGATCAGTCGTTGGAGAGGGACATACTTGGGAGAGTGGAGGGACAGTGCAGGAGAGGAAGATCCTCATGAGATGAATTGATCCCATCTCTGGGGTAATGGGGATAGGAGTGTTGGAGACATTATGATTGGCAAGGGATAGAGCAAGGTTTAGGGCTGTTGTACATAGGGTTTCTATGAGTTGCAAGCAACTTGATGGCACATAACAACAACAAAAACAACAATAACAAGAATTGCAGTCAGCTTAAAATTGTCTTTTCTAGCCATTATACTAGCCTTTTCTGGTCACCAACTTCCTTAACTATAGACACATTGTCTTGCAAATCATCCACAACTATAGGAATAGGATAAGAGAAGGAGTGCTTCCTACATTAAACAGCAAGACTTGAGGGACACTGGAGCAAGACCCTGGTGAGAAGGAGACCCTGGTAAGGGCAAGAGCCTGGTGGTGAGACTCTGGTAGCAAGACCCTGATGATGGTGGTGGAGATACTGTGGCAAGGTGTAACCAAAGGCACCCTGAGATAAAGGCCACATTTACAATTTTGCTGTTCTTGCTGGACAATTGGAGAAGCTGACTTAAAACTACTTTAAGGCAAACCTTCCTAGATAATTGAGGAAACCAGAGGCTTCTTTTTTATTTTTTCTTGTTGTGTACCATCAGATCAGATCAGATCAGACCAGACTGGCATAGAAGGAGATTGCCCCTCCTTCTCTACTGGACAGTCTGGTGGATTTGAACCTTGTGCAATCGGGATTCAGCACAATTTCTTGCCACTAGGCTACCAGAGCTCCCAGGGGCTTCTCAAATTTATATTGCTGAACTGACACCAGGACTTTTACTAATTAAGAAAGTGTGTGTGTGTGTGTGTGTGTGTGTGTGTTTGTGTATGTTTCATACTGGTTTATCTACAAAGTTCGTATACATTGTTTTTCATACCAGATCTTTCTTATTTTTTACCCCTCCCATCAAATTGTGCAATCCTGTGACTAATACTGCCCTCACCTCCCAATCCTCATTCTCCTTCTACAATAGTGGTTTTATATAATATTTGTTCTTATGGGACTTAGTTCACTTAGCATAATGCTCTTGAGTCCCAAGTTAAGTAGTAATTTTCAGAATCATTGCTCCTACATGCTATGTAATATTCCATTGTATGATTGTATCATAATTTCTCAATCCATTCAATTGTGAGTGGACATTTGGACTGTTTCCATGTTCTTGCAATGGTGGATAATGCTGCTATGAACATTGGTGTACAAGTAAGTCTCCATTTATGCTTCAGTTCTCATTCTCACAGGGTATATTCCAAGCAGAGGAATAGATGGTTCATATGAAATTTCTATGTTCTGTTTTTTAAGGAGGCATCAAACTGCCTTCCAGGGTGGCTGTACCATTTTACAATCCTATCAACAATGTATGAGAGTGCCTATATTGCCACATTCTCTCCAAAATTTATTATTTGCTGTCCTTTTTAACTTTGCCATTGTTACTGGAGTCAGATGGCATCTCTCTTATTGATAGCGATTTTGAGCATTTCTTCATGTGTCTGTTGGCCATCTAAATTACTTCCTCTGTAAAAATTCTTTCCTTGTCTTTTGTCCATTTTGTAATTGGATTATCAGTCTTTTACTTGTGGAAGCCCTACAGGCTTCTATAAACTTTTTATATGAGTCTCTTGTCTGAAATGGTATTGGCAAATGTTTTTTCCCCCACTCAGTAGGTTTTTCCTTTCATTCTCTTGGACAATGTTTTTGATATGCACACAGATTTTATCTTTAGAAGGTCTCATTCATCAATTTTATCATCTCCAGATTGTGCATTTCTGGCTGTATTTGGCAATCTCTTTATGATGTAGACTAGGCTTTCTAAGCTTGATTCCAGTTTCTCTCTTATGAACTTTCTCATTTTGGGCTTTACTCCCATGTCTCTGATATACCTTGAGTTGATTTTTGTGTATGGTGTGAGATGTGGATCCTGTTTCCGCTTTCTGCAGTTAGCAGTACAGTTTTACCA